TTTAGGCCGGTCAGTTGGTCTTAGTGTTATGATTCAAGACGATACATACATTCTTTTCTATTTAACATTACATGTAGGGGGAGAAGAGGGAGATTTTTGTGTTACTTTTGATGCAAATATTTGATGCAAAACTTTTTAATTGGCCTAAAACTACCCGGGTTGACCTCCATACACCGAAAAAGCTTATCCTACAATTCCATACAACAAAAATCATTATCATACAATTCCATACATCAAGTGTATGGAGAAAATGCTTGCCATACAATTTTCATACTTTTTCTAATATCAATAGAAATTAAAAATTAAACAATTTCTGCGGCTTTTTCAAAACAGTTCAACAGACTGGTAACGGAAAAAACTGACTTCAAATTTTTTTTTAACAAAAAATGCTTGCCATACAATTTTCATATATGATAATTGTATGACAAGCATTTACGCCATAAGGAATAATTTTTTCAAAAATTTTTGCAAACCTGTTATTGAAAACTTCAAATGAGTTGTGAAAAATTCTTAATAATTTTTTTCTGAAGGATGAGAACGAATTGCGAAAACAAATCCGTTCAAATCCAAGTAAAGGAGAAGCAACCAAGAACAAAAAAAAATAGAACTTTCGTTTAATTTTTTTCTCTCGAAAATTGTTTGATGTAAGTGACCTCTTCTGGAATCTGTAAATAAATCAAATATGAAAAAAAAAATTGGGAAATTTTATTTTTCTTTCAAGCAAACAAAATTTACATTTGCGATGTTTGGTGAAAACTGTTGGTGATACGTAGTTTGTTATTGTAGCTTATGGTAGTTTTTCAAATTTTGGTTGAAAAAACTCCTCAGTCGATTGTTTTAACTGCGGTCAAATTGTTTCGAAACGTTTTTCTCCGATCGCTTTCCCCGACTGCATCTGTATAACGCTTATGCAAGCAAAAAAAATCCGACAACAATTCCATTACTTCAGCTTTGCGCGACCCATGTTGCGACTTTGCGTGACCCAAATTTATGTTGATTTTTTTTCTGTTTTCTTGCACGTGTAATACCGTTCTTTATAGAAAATGTATTAGTGGATTTAAGAAGTAGTGGATTCACGATGTTGGAGAGATTTGCCGGAAGTTTTCTCCCAGATATGCAAGTTTTTTTTTCAAAAAAAATTGATATATTACCTTTTCCAGTACTCACACCCTAAAATCATGATTAGGACATTGCTGCTATCTAAAGAGTTGAGAAGATCTCTTGCAGAAAATTAAGAAGCTGTGGTTGCAACTTCTTAAAAAAAAATTGTTTCTCAGGTTTTTTTCTCTGTTCGCAGATTGCACTGCTTATAAGATGGGTTTTGATGTAATTTGTGCCGCATTTGAAAAAAAAATTCCAAAAACTGTTTTTCATACAATTTTCATAAATGACAAATTTTTAGTCATACAATTTCCATTTATGGTAAAAATGTTTGTCGTACAATTTCCATTTATGGGAAAATGTTTATCATAGAGTTTTCATACAATTTCCTGTACTTATGGAATTGTATGGAATTGCATCAAAAGAAATTACCCATTTATGAGAGATGTATGATAAGCATTTTTGGTCAACCCGGGTATTCAGGGCTTTGTTCTGATATGTAAAGAGTCTTGTTTCAATTTGAAATAGTTTCAAGCCAAACTGAATTATCTGCTACTGTGCCCAAAAAACTGAGACCACTGCGCAAATATTTTAATCAAAATTGGCTTCATAAGACGCAGCACCGAGTAAAGTTTGACAAATAATTACATGATGTTCTTCTTTTCAAAAATTAACTTGAATTTTTTGCCGTTCTCAAAACAAATTTTCTGATGAAAACTATAGGTCTGAATCATCTTAAAAACTTTTTCAATACTTTGATTAAATGCATTACTGTGTTAGCCCAACCGTGTAGCAGTAACTGAATAAGGAGGATAAAATTGTACCAAAATCACACCACAAAACGTTTTTTTTTTAACATTCAAGTTTTTCAGATATCTCAATTCGTCAAAACTGTACTTTACGACAAAAAAATGTACCTATTATGAAAAAAAGCAACAACTTGCATTCAGAAGAAAGAACTCTCAGCTCTTGTGGCCGGAATTGTGCGAACTGTCAAAACTCATTCAAATCAAAATAATTAAAAGTTGATCTAAATATATTTCGAGTATTGAGACGCAACGTCTAATAAAGTCAACTATTAAAAACAAATCAAACTATGTAAGAAATTTCATGAATATATTGCAGCAAGTACTACTGCACTACTGTTTTCATGAAGTCGCATTGATATGAGAATTCTTAATGTTTGTTCTATTTGTTTGATTCAGTCACTTGCAACATTTTCGATGAAATTTTCGAGAAAATGCGGAATATTTTGTTTGCTCAGTCAAACTTCGCGGATCAAAATCAAGTTTTATTAAAAAAAAATTTTTCATCTTTTTGAAGATATGGAATTTGTGATTTCAAATTACAAAAAGATATTTTACCTTCAAATTTTTTTAGTTCTTGTAGTTTGAATATTGTCAATTTGGCCATGCTTTGTGAGGATTTTCTTGGGATGTTTTACTTTGACATTTTTCGAAACTTACAAAATTTAAGATATGTTTTCAAACAAATATTCAATAGCGATTGTGGGCGTAAGGATCAGGGCTTTGCTCTGATGTACGAGCAGTCTTATTTGAAGTTTAAAATATTTGATTCAATTTATAATAGCTAATCTAAATGAGCTCCGGAGGTCTGCCAAAGGATATGGAATTTGTGATATCTGAGCTCCGAAGATATGGAATTTGTGATTTCAAATTAAAAAAGATATTTTACCTTCAAATTTCTTGTAGTTCTTGTAGTTTGAAAATTGTCAATTTGGCCATGTTCTGTGTGGATTTTCTTGGGATGTTCTACTTTGACATTTTTCGAAACTTATAAATTTAAGATATGTTTTCAAACAAATATTCAATAGCGATTGTGGGCGTAAGGATCAGGGCTTTGCTCTGATGTACGAGCAGTCTTATTTGAAGTTTAAAATATTTGATTCAATTTATAATAGCTAATCTAAATGAGCTCCGGAGGTCTGCCAAAGGATATGGAATTTGTGATATCTGAGCTCCGAAGATATGGAATTTGTGATTTCAAATTAAAAAAGATATTTTACCTTCAAATTTCTTGTAGTTCTTGTAGTTTGAAAATTGTCAATTTGGCCATGTTCTGTGTGGATTTTCTTGGGATGTTCTACTTTGACATTTTTCGAAACTTATAAATTTAAGATATGTTTTCAAACAAATATTCAATAGCGATTGTGGGCGTAAGGATCAGGGCTTTGCTCTGATGTACGAGCAGTCTTATTTGAAGTTTAAAATATTTGATTCAATTTATAATAGCTAATCTAAATGAGCTCCGGAGGTCTGCCAAAGGATATGGAATTTGTGATATCTGAGCTCCGAAGATATGGAATTTGTGATTTCAAATTAAAAAAGATATTTTACCTTCAAATTTCTTGTAGTTCTTGTAGTTTGAAAATTGTCAATTTGGCCATGTTCTGTGTGGATTTTCTTGGGATGTTCTACTTTGACATTTTTCGAAACTTATAAATTTAAGATATGTTTTCAAACAAATATTCAATAGCGATTGTGGGCGTAAGGATCAGGGCTTTGCTCTGATGTACGAGCAGTCTTATTTGAAGTTTAAAATATTTGATTCAATTTATAATAGCTAATCTAAATGAGCTCCGGAGGTCTGCCAAAGATCTGCGCAAATCGAATGTGAGTGATCGCGTTAAGCTTAGATCATAACAAAAAGCGCAAAAAAATTGGTCAGAAGAGATAAATTATAATCTCAAAAAATTTCTTGAAATCAGAGATTTATTGCATCATTTGTAACTGGAAAAACAAGTAAAACATATTCATCTTGATACTCGTTTACTGCCAATTCCCTACTTTTTTTAAATTCAGTACCTTAAACTGAGCTAGACTCTCATAACAGAAGACCCGAAAGCTCGAAAAATACTCGTGCGTATTATAAGTGAGTATTCGAACTTCTGAAAGAAAAAACATTTTTAAAAATCAGTCAGTTTTTGAATGATGTTTGATTGGTCAAAAAATATGGCGCACTCGGTTTTTCTTCCATGAGAACAGATACTGAACTACCGCGCCCAAAATAGATTGCCGGTAAAATGACCAAACCAATTTGCAAATGAGACATTTGGCAAAAAAATCAAGGCAATTCGGCCGTAGGCATTTCAGTCAATTTATTATTTATCGACTACAAACTGCATTGGCATGTAGCGTGTATCTTCGAAACGAGAGGAATAGTTTGTAAGAATCAGTGCTCATCTGGATTGTTTCAGACTTCTCGAACTAAAATTAGCTGAAATGTCTCAGTTTTACATTGGCTGACTTGTCTGCTGTACTTTTGCGAAAAAAAAAGTCCTAAAAGAAAAGTCTTAAGTCACCTTACGCGATAGTAAATGATTTCTAAAGAGCTTAAGGATGTATCTTCTGCATCATTAAAAGAGCCCATTACTATAGAATTTCATCTAAACACGATTTCTTTTAAACATAGTCGTTGAAGCTGCCGGTTTTGTTATGCGGCGTGGGAAAAACTTGAGGAGTTTAAAGGTGCAGGAATTTAAGGGAGTAGGAAAACTGGAAGTCTCGTGAATCAGTACAAAACCTTTACTTCAAAATGTTGCGAAGTGTTGCTTCAGAATGATCGGTTCTAAGAGGAGTCTTTTTAAGATAGTGGGCGGCTTTTGAAAAACGGCCCAGATTTGAATGGTTTCTGACCGTTTTTTTTTTTTTCAAATTAACCATTCAAAAGCCGCCCTTTATATAAAAAACGCTCAAAATTTAATCAAATCTTTCATTGTGAAGCAAGACGTTTTGAACCCAATTGGCTAAACAACAACTGAAACCACTCAAAAGTTACTTGAAACTCAGCGCAAAATCTCGACTTGGCGCAAATTCTCTTGAAACTCGGCGCGCGCGAAATCTTAACTCTGTTTCACAGTAGTGCAAATGCGTTTTTACCTTCAGCGGGGGTGTTTTTGGGATGACTCTGGCGTCACTCCAGAACTGAATGAGGTAGAAATCCAGGGTAGTCTCGCTCGAAATGTCTCGCATGCTTTCAAGATGTATGAACACACAGACTCGTACTGCACTCTCGTTGAAGTCGGGGCGGTGAAATTTATTGTAGGGTTCTTCGTTTGGATTTGTCATCAAAAGATCCTCGAATATAAAGCTTCCTTTTAAGGTAGAAAGGAAAAACAATAGGAAAAAATTCACACCCAGTTTGTTGAGCAGCATTTTAAAAAGTAAAATAGGTGTTTAAAATAACGAAAATGTATTTTTTTGCATTAAATGTCTGATAAGAGCACAATAATGGCAATTTATGACAATATTGGAATTTTTATATAAGCAATCAATCAATAAAAAGGGAATTATTAAAAAAATGCAACTGCTGTTTGTACGTGATATTCTTCGGCAATCATTGCCATATATTTACATTTATGAGCTTCCTAGATAAAAGTTCTTCAAATTACACATTTTTATGATAAGATAATTTCTAATTTTCAGGTGGAAGCGGATAAAAAAGGAAACAGCGATCAATAAAAAAGACTACTTAATTCTTATTCGCTGTAAATCCTTAAGTCCGATGGTAAAGTAACGGCATACGCCTTTTTATCATTCCCATACTGCTGAAATTATCCGCTTTTAAGCTAGAATATAATAGAGCAAAATCATATCTGAGCGAAAACATTGTCTGATTTGTTGGTTCGAGTAGCAAAAGAATGATTATTGGTAGCCTTGCCTGATAGGAAAATAACAGTCGCGCTACCTGGGCCTATCTGACTATTGGGTTGTTTGAACTCCTAATAAAAACACTGGGTATCTCCGAAACGGCTCAAATTTGAATTAGTATTCTCAAGGCGCCTCTAAATTTATGGACCGACTGACCGGAATAAAGAATTTGATGTTTTAACAACTTACTATGGAAAAAGTGGAAAATACGGAAACATGTAATTTTCTGTGGAACAATTCACTGTCCTAAGCGATCCTAAACCCAGTTTTTTCTAACGAACAATCATCAAAGGTGAAATTTAACGAGGGATCGAAAAAAGATCTGAATATTATGAAATCATAACTAAATCCTGGTCACAAGAGCTTTGAAAAACTTTTTAAAAATGCATTTTTCAAACTCGCTTGTTCCGAAAAACACTGAAAACATGGGAAAAAAATATTTCATTTAAATTCATTTAAATTCATCGTGCAACAAGAGAAATTTGATAACAACTGAAAACGTTTAAAAAGCTATTTCGGTGACAACAAAATTTTTGGGGAGTGCAATAAAAATTTCGTCGGAAATTGCTAGTTGAAAAATCAAAAATTGTCTCTAGAAAAAACCAATCTTAGCAGAAAGTAAGAAAAATAGGCTAATTGTATAAATTGATAGTTGCAAAGGGTTGGTTTGAAAAATTTAGTTTCCTTTAGCACGACTTGATAAACTATTATAAATTAAACTTTTCAAACCAATCTTATCCCTTTTTACTCTATGTTCTAACTAATTCTAATTCATTCTGCTCTCAATTCCAAATTTAACCTATGCAGTTTATCATGAGCCAAACACGAAAGCTTGTATCAGGGCGAAACTCTGATTTTTCAGACTGCCTTTTATAGCTAATGGAGCAGCGTTTGCTTTAATAAAAATGATGAACTTTACGGAAAATGATCACAATTGAAAAAAAAAGTTTTTAATTTGAGCTCAGGACAACAATGTTTCTGGGATGATATCAAAAAAATACATTCAAAATGGCTAGTTAAAGCTAAGAAATTTATCTGGTGGGAAAAACACTCCAGCACAAATATTCCGTCACTTTCTTCGAAAGTCGGAAGAATACACATTACAAATCAATTTATACGTGAAGACAAAATACTAAGTATCCACTTAATCGCAAATTCAAGCTAAATATTCCAGAGACGCTATTCACCTCCTCGCAAAAAATTGTATTTTTTTGTCAAAACTAGCTAAAAGTAATCAGCAATCATCACATGCGGCAAAATTGTTTCAAAATTGTTTCAAACGCCGACGAAATTGTTTCATTTTGTCTAATTGGTCAAATGGGCGCAATCCTATTTCTAGTTAACGCATTTTAAAAGAGACCTCCATATGGTAATAGTTTATGACAGTGATTATTGGCTGAACAGCACTAAATTAAATGTATTTTTCAAAGTTTAGTTGGCGGGACGGCGCGGCAATAAGTTTTTTTTTTTACAAAAAAAAACAATTAACAATAGCGATAAAAAGAGCATTTTTCTGGATATTTGTCAACAGCGTAGAAAATTTTCCATCATATTGTCTAAATTAGGGTTTCGGCAGAACTCAAAAAATGAGAAAATACTGATTTAAAAAATTCAACAACTAAGTAAGTTTGAAAAATTGTCAAAGAGCTCTTTAGAAATAACTCAGCCTGCGTTGAAAAAAAAGAAGCACACCGATGAAGATATACGGCGAATCGGTAATAATGCGGTTATAGATATCAATGGTGAACTATCATTAACAGTACTCCTTATCGATTGGAGATATGTCATTTGGGTAGAACCCTAATCTTCTTCAAGAAATTCAGTGACAGAGAAAAAAAAGATTGTTTCTTTTTCCGAAATTAAATTATCAAAAATTTTGACTTGCCGTCTGTATTGTGAGCAACCAATTTCGGACATCGCAAAAAAAAACCTATGGTTATATTAACTTCTGAGGAAGGTTAGAAGTTTCCCAGTCGCATTTTAGCCATGAATGGCCGTTGCTGATTACACCGACTGGCTTACCAGCAGTATGATATTCAAGGGCGGCTAGTTGGCTAGCTACCCAACCTACAATCCAGTTTTCCAATCCATTAAAGCAGGGCTAACTCTTTCCCACGAGGCGACTCATGCAGCACTGAACTCACAGAGCTAATGCAATGTGGCGTCGCCGTGCACGGGTAACCTCAACTTTTTAAACTCCGTAAGGGTATAGTATAGAATAAGGGCCCTCTGGTTCTGGTCTGACCAGCACAAGAAACCCAGGGATTTTATAATCTGTGGCTTCCATCACCGATCGGAGGGCTCTGCGCAAAAGCTAAAAGTCGAGCATTATAAGCGTTTTTTTAAGCACTTGGATTTTTTACATGCACAGTCGTTACCTGCGTTTTATACAAACTTTGCTGTAATCACGTATACCTTATCCGGACCCTTCTAACTGAGGCGAATGTTTGATTTTAGTGCTTTTTCAGGACTGCTTGATAATCTCGGAGTCGACTTGAGCTCTCCCGAGATACTTTTTTGTTGGAAGTGTTTAAAATGTGACAGTACCCAGTTTCTCATCGACGTAGAGGCTGCTGAACGCTATGAGCAACTTTGTCATCATTGCTTTATTTGCTGCCATATTGCAAGCCAAGGGAGTTCTAGTGTTTCTAATAGCGGAGGGGCGAATGTGGAAAAGTTTTGACAAAATTATTGAAGTATAATTAAATATTTATTTAAGTATTATTGAGTTATTGAAGAAACTGAGTCATCAATTTTTTTACAACAAATATGTCGGCATCTTCGCGTTTTTCTTCCCGTACTGTGGCTGAAACTTAGCTGTAATTTTAATAGTTGATTCTTCGTCATGTAGGAGCGGAGATAGGTTTTCAGTAACTTCAGGCTAGAAAAAAATCATTTTAAAAGTTTTTTTTAAAATCCCTTTAAAAAGACTGTAAGGATTTCAATAATGTACCACAGTTAATTCACTACAAATCATCTTTCGAATATGTTAAAAATAAAAATTTAAAAACTTTCGAAATTCAATGTACGGATTCCGGTTTCCGACATCAACCCGTATTTTTCCTTGATTTTCACTAATTTAAAGTTAAAACAACATAATTTAACTCAATTCATTTAGATTAGACGCTCAGCTTAATCGGCTTGACATGTGTTAACACGTTGCAAATTTTTGATGAAATCGTCTGGTTTTCAGTTATGACCGCCATGCCATTGCTAGATGTTTTTCACACAAAATAGAGATTTTTGATGGGTGCTTGTTTGCTCTTGTTCGCAGCAAACCATTATGTAGGTTTCGTTTGTTTCTCTTCTGCTCAATTTTTTTCAGAAATGATTATTTGCTTGTGATAAAAACCCGGGTTGAAGTCCCACCATTAACTATCACTTTTTCTGTAGTATCCCAGTGATCGCTATTTTCCAGCGCTGATTCATGTATAGTTCAGATTTTTTTTTGCACATCTATACCAATGATTCCGTTGATTTTAACTCATTCTAGTAGCTTTCAAAAGAGAGTGTGAGTTGATAAGACCTTTAACTTGAGTATATCTAAGACTTGGTGGCGCAAAGGTAGAATACATGGCTATAAAGCTGAGAGTTGAGGGAGCCAGCCCCTGTAGTTCACTATTTTTGCTCATTTTGATAAGTTTTTTTATCGTTGTTTCATCGCTAAAAATTAACCAAATAAACGATGAATTGTCGATAAAATTTGCTTCTGTGACAATGAACATCGGTAATTCATTGAAAGCGGTCGCTGTTTTTTTTTTCAATTTTTTTTTCGCTAGTTTTCAGTGTGAGCTCAAACCGGGAAGATAATAATTTTTCAGAGCGTGATTTGCTAAAAATTAGAGCGTTTTTGCCTTATGTTATTTTAAATTGGAAGTTTGGATACTTAAGACGTCAAAAAAATATATTTTTTTTGTGATCCTGTAGCTTGCATTCTACTAATAAATTTCGGTTCTGCTCAATTTTCCGCCGCAAATCCGGCACAAAATGCAAAAATTATCCATCAATTTTTTATATAGAGTTTTTTCTTGCACTTCGTTTCAAAACATCGCTTTTTTGCGCTGCAAATTGAGCGGAACAAAAACTTATTCTTTTTTACTTATATATACACGAAAAATAATTGTAGGGAAATAAGTATGTTGCTATGTTTGAATTTGATTTTACTTAACTTTCAATGAAGGCGTAGGTTTGCACGAAAGGTGTTCAAAAGGGATATCGAAGTCGTGATCCATGTCCTTTTATAACCTCATCAAAGACTTCAGACAATTTTTTGATCGTGAATAAAATCATCAAGCAACGCATAAAGCAGCTTGGTATGATTTTTTCCTTCTTGGTATCAAAAAGAGGTCAAATTTCATTATAGCTGTTTTCGCGTTTTATGTTTATCTTACTTCAAACAATACACCAATATTAAGCGTTTTTTTTCTAAATTTTATTACGTAATGAGAACAACGCGTGCTATTTAATAGTAATTTTTTAATCATTACTCTTCGCACACTTTTTTTGCGTTATTGTTGAGTGTAAACAAAGCATTTAAAGTTAATATATGAAATAAAAATCAGCAATCAAATTAAACGTAAAACTTTATTTGCTATTGTAAAGTTGCCTTGCTTAATTCATTAAGTTAGTTTGTAGAGTACTCTTTCTTTTTGTGTCGCAATGGGTGAAACTACATTCTCGGAAGAGGAGATGCAAGTTTTCCGAAAACTCTTTGATGACTGGGACGGAAACAAAGACGGTGTCATCCAGAAAGAAGAGATCGGACCAGCGTTGCGGGCGGCGGGCGCGGACCCGAGCGAGAAAGAGATTTCCGAATTCATGACTCGGGCCGACACTAACAATGACGGAGTCGTGGATTTCAACGAGTTCACCAACATGATCGAAGAAATTAAGCGGACAGTCCCGAAAGAGACTTTGCTTCGAGAAGCTTTCAAGGTAACAAAAATGGACTAAGAGATTCGCAGGTTTTTGTTCCGAAACATGTTTATTAAGAAAAACTCTGAGAGAATGTTCATAATTATTGGAAAAAAAACTGACTTGAGATTTTTTAAAGTTCTAGAGATGGGATGAAATTTACTCTAAAACTACCAGAGTATTCGAGCTTGACATGTAATGAAGAAAGAATTAATCAAGTAACAAATTTCTGAAAACCATCTTTGGTTGTTTTGCTTTCGAACTACAATCGAAATATGTATCTAAAACCGTGACCACCAAGTTTTGCGAGATCTTTCAGGATTCCGCCGTTTTCTCTCAATTTGCGCGAATTCCTTCGTATTCTTCATTCAATTTCTAGTGTCTGGTTAAAAAAATCACGAGTAATGTAACAATAAGCAAAACCATGAAGCAAAAAATATTAAAAGAAGAAACCTGCGAAATCTAGTTTAAAAAAAGGATCTTGATAACTAATTTCCACCTAATTCAATTTTCAGAAATTCAAATTTGGCGGCCACATTTTCCATAGCTTGATAAAATTTAAAATTTTCAGAAAAAAAAATATATACATTGCATTGGTGGGGGGAGTTAACAAGGTCCAAATGGGGGGATAGTTAACCAGATCCAAAAAATCGAAAAATCAAGAAAATAAATATTAATAATTTGTGGAATTTGCTTCATCGTCAAGAACGCGTTTTCTTTTTGAGTTCCACCAATTTATTTTCGCGAGCCTGATGGTGCTTGAGTTATTATGATTAATATTATTAATAAGAATTCCACGGGAGAGTCCGTGTGGGATCATCGACCCTCTGAGATGATTTTCAAGTTGGTAGGTTTCTTATTAAATTTCTGCAGTTGTACCGTACACAATCACAATGCATTTTCCAAGTGCAGGTAACATCTTCATCAAAATCTAAAGTGAAATAATCCCAAAACCATCAAAGAAGGCCTTTCTTGAGAGAACCAATATCTGTAATGTCAACGTAACTTGGTGCTAAATTTGCAAGTCGAGTCGAACGAAACCAGAAGTTCTGTTCACATAGCTTCAACTTTGGGCGTTGTACCTGAAACAAACTAGAAGCAGCAGACCTTGTATTGAAAAGATTTTCCATGGGTGAATAATTGACCGCTTTAGAAATCCAAGAAAGTAAATTCGAGAAAGAATGACAAAAACAATTTGTGCAATGCTTAGACAGAATATATATATATATGAACATTATAAATTTAGAAGCAATTTTTTTCGAAAAACCTATCCAACCCCCCCCCCCCCATCGGAAAATTGTTGAATCAACTTGTTTATGTTTAGTGGGGGGAGGGGGAACGGTATAGAAGAATCACATCATGTTTATTTTTAGGCATTTGATATCAACGGCGACGACAAGGTGTCTTCTCAAGAGCTGAAAGCATTCCTGCAGAAGTACGGTGAGACCCTAACAGACGAAGACGCTGAGGAGCTGATTGGCCTCGGCGACGTTGACGGCGACGGAATGCTGAATGTCGAGGAGTTCATACGCGCGCTTCAAGAGTTCGACTAGCTGAATTGTCAGCGGAATTCAATTCCCAATTCTTTTGAAACTTTTTTGCTCAAGTTTCATTTCAATCAATTATGTAGTATAAAATATTGGTAGAAAAAATTGAGTTGCACGTCTAAAAGCATTTTCAAAATCCACTTTTCATTAGGTCGCTAGGTTGCTAGGATCAAGTTAACATCCTCCCCCCCAAATAGACCAAGTTACGATCCTCCATCCCAGCTTTACATTTGCTAAGCGCTGCATGTAAAATGCTCGATTCTGGTTGGCTGAGAAAAATGCCAACTAAGAACCAAGTTAACATTCTCCACCCAAATAGCTTGGGGGGATGTTAACTTGGTCTGGTCGCTATCCCCCTCTCTTTTGCATCTAGTAACGAATTGCCACCCCTTTAACGGAGCAATTGAACTGCATGTAAATTTTGAACCTGGTTGCGAATCTCCCCTTTTGTAAACGGGGGAAATAGTTAAAGAGATCTTATTTCAGTTCGTATTTAAAAAGCTTTTTGGCTGTTTCACCGCTCTAAAATTAGATCACAATACCTCTAATTTTTACCTTATGAACATAAGTTCACAATTGCCGATTGTTATGAAATTAGCACGCATGGCATTAACTCAAATCAAAACATATTTGGTCTTCGTAATAACATCGTATAACCAAAATTGACCTAAAACGCAAAGTTAGTGGTGGTTGAAAAGAACCGCTACTTTTGTGTTGAAATCTTCAAATTGAATGTATTTTCGGTGGTATATAAGCCAGCCGAAGTGTAAAGCAGCCGAAGTATCAACCATCCAGAAAATACGTAAGTGTTAGATAATAGTTATGTATTAATTATGTAACAGTTGCGAAAGTTATGCAAACTTATTCATATGATGTAACTTTTTGACTGGTTCAAATAGTCCGCCCTTTATCGGTTTGGCTTATTCGGCTCTTTTTCCTTTTCCGCCCACCTCACTCAAACAAGAATTTTATGGTCTAACGAGTGGTTCTACAAGGTTGATTATGAAAACCAAATATGATCTCCATGGCCTAATTAGTCTTGCATGTCAATTTTCATGACAATCGGACAAAGTGAACAGTAACTTCAGATATAAAAAAGGAGAGAGAGAGGGGGGAAGCAAAAAGACCCGCTAATTTTTCGGCTGGTTTATTGTGTCCGACTTTTGTAACGAAAGTAACGGAAAATTTGTGCTCGGGGTGGTTTTTTTTTTCTTCAGACAAATGTCGACTTTTTAACAAGACGTTTTTGACGGAATTTTTTTTGTATCCGAAAGCTATTGTTGCCCTGAGCTTAAAATTGAACAAGAATGCTCGTATCAGGGCGAAGCCCTGAATGTTCTGACTGCCCTTTATGGAGCAGTAATAACATAAATATCGTTAACAAATTAAATGTAATAAAAAAATGGAAACATTTTTTCTAAAGTTTTTGAATGAAAATCATCCCCCACACGCCATATAAACTACAAAAGAATAGATTTGCTACATATAACAAATCAATTATTGCAAATAAGCTTCTTTCAACCAATTTTGAACAATTTCTAAGACGGATTTAATCTCCGCTTACGCGTTAAGAGCTCGAAATATATCGCACGTTAATTGTCCCAATATTGGTCAAAATGGCAATCTTTAAACCCCCATAACTTTACGAAAAATGATGACAGGTGAATTATCTTTTCAAATTTTTTGGTGTTTGAGAAAAAAGGCCTGTTTATTTTTATCTTAGCAAATGAAACAAAAAAAATCATGGTCGGGTTTACAAAAAAAAACCCTCTTTTGATTTTGGGATTATTTTGGGTAAAAAACTCATCCTGGACTACGTTATAAACACAAAAAGTCAAATTTTTTTTGGAAAAATTTTTTCGTAAAATTTATATCAGCACAAAAGCAAGTTTGCAACCAAAAGGGGATTTAAAAAACTTTTACCTCAATTATGTATTTTTTTTAATGAAAAAATGCATATCATACATTTTTCATACATCAAACTATCTGATAAGCATTTTTCCGACCGAAATTTAAATTATGTTTCTGATTGTCAAAATGCCCCCTATCCGAGATATAATTATTTAAATCTTTTTAAAGCTACCCAGATACATTTTTTAGTGATTTTTGAAAATTTCATTTCTTCTAAGACACAATGATTATCTTTTAACTTTCATACATGAAAATTGTATGACAAGTATTTTTTAATCGAAACTTTTAAATCAATTTTTACTGACCAGAAAGCCTCGAAAAAAGCAAATAGATCAAAAAAAAATGTTAATTAAAAAAATTTGAGTTTTTAAAAGAATTTTTAAGTTTTGTATGAATTTTGTATGACAAGCATTTTTTCCATAGTTATCGTATATGAAACTGTACAATAAGCATTTTTTTTTCTATGAACGTCAACCCGGATAGTTTTGAAAATTATTTCTGCATAAAATATTCATTCGAAACAAGCACGCAGAATGTTCTGCTGGAGAAATAGCTATAACGAATAGCTATTTTTCGTTAGTAGGGCAAAATATTAATCATAATTTGGTATTGATTGATGTTTTTGACTTCATAGAAAAAATTGCCCTCAAAATCAGTTTCTCAAAAACCGGTATTTTATCCCGCCAAACTGATTTGAAGGAGGGAGAATAGTACGGTTGATCCGAAATAAGTCCACAGTTAACCATATGAGAGTTTTACACTTTGTAACGAATATCCCCTTTTTTACAAAAAGAGGATATAGTTAAAGAGTTTCAGTTGATATTTTCTGAAATTACCAAAGTTGCTGAGAAAAAAAATAGGTCAAAAATATAATTTTTTTCGGAGCTCGCTTCTACGTCTAATTAAGTGTAAATTGAAAAATATCCTCTAGACAATTTGAAGGTTGATTGACCAAAAACGGATGCTTAAACGTCTACCAAAAGGAATGAGACATTATGGGTGGCCAGGGAGGCGAGCAATTGAAAAAAAAGATAAAAAGAACAAATGAAAAACCATAACACGGATAGCCGGTTACTGTGCAAGTAACACAGAGTGTTCCGACCATAGTCTTTAAAAAACTACAAAAAAGATATTTTATTGCTGCGTGGAGTCATAAAAAAAGTCTGATGTAAAATTATATTTTAAGCATATTTGGCATTCATAGTAATGTAGGTAAATTAGACGCAAATTTTGTGAAGAAAATTGACTAGAAAAACAAAAAATAAAAAATGCACAGTCAAAAATTTTGCAGAATCAAAAACTTTAAACCGGTTTTTCTCGACAAAAGAAAAATTTTTCGAAAGCATTTGAAAGTGGTTCAAATCGCGACTGAAAGATTTTTGAACTTATATAGCACTCAAACTTGTACGATGATTATTTGTGGTACCTGATTTAACGTGGAAAAATAAAGAAAAAAAGCTAAAACAGACCCGAATACGAAATTCCTGGTCGGAACAATAGGCAAAATTTTTGTTCTGACGAGGAGCACATTTCGATCGCATCGGTGCGTCGCGCACAAAACCACCAAAACTTTTCAGAACAGCTCGTGTATCGGGATTGATAAGTTAGCGACGCATAACAGCACGACTGCACTATAAAAATGATTCAGTTTAATGAAGACATATACTTTGCACATCAAAACTGGGAAGTTGTCTTGTGCCTAACAATAGCAACAATTGATTCTGTACATTTGCCAGTAATTCAGCGAGTTCATATTGGTCTGAAAGACATCGATGCCAAGAACACAAAATTGAAAAAATTATTTACACTCTACTTTTTTGTCGTTAAATTTAGTTTGGAAGTTGCCAATTTGCGAGAAAAATATCGCTGTTTATTTTACATTACGTGTGGGGGGAAACTGCCAACACATAAAAATTTTCAATTTGTTGATGAAGAGTATATGGATAATTCAAAAAGGGTGATAGGAATGTTCAAGATTTTTCCTTGATACGAGCAGTCTGTTCAATTTTAAAGCCCTTTTACTATTTCGACTTTTGAAAAAAATGACATATTACTTATGCTGTCATTTTATATTTGTGACTTTTTTAAGCATTCTTGACATAGCTTTTTCCATGCAATCCGAAAGATATTTTAATCGGAGGTTAAATGTTAATACTGAGAAAAAATAAACAAGTGGCAATTTTTTCTAGAAATTTGGGGGTTTGAAAATTGAGACTTGGCTAATTTTTAATACTTAAAGCGCGAAACATGGCATTCTTATAGCGCGCGTTAGTGGCGTATTAAAACATTTAAAAAAAATTGAGGTAGCTCATTTAGCATTATAATGAGGCTATGTACAGCTATCTTAGATGTTTATGAGTTTGGAGAAAAATGTGCTAACAAAGATGTCAGGAAGCGTGCGATCTGTATTTAGACAACCGCGTAATCATACTTGCCAGTAAGCAGACAAATGCTTATAAGCTAATCAGAATCAAGATAAAAAAGCAAAATTACGAAATAAAGGTTTTTTATTTAATTATTTTTTATTTGTCTCGATTCTGATTAGTTAATAAAGCGTTTGTCTGCTTACTGACGAGTATGAACATGTGGTTGTCTAATTACTGCTACGTAACCATGTTAGGAGGACTAAGAACATATAGAGTTATAAAAACTCAGTCACTGACAAGAGAAAGCAAGTGACAATCTGTAATTGTTTCTGGCATTAACCAAAACAAGCAAACCACTCAACTGAATAATGATTATAAACCTTTGCAAAGTAACAATAATTACAATAATTGAGATTCATGCGAACCTAAAATATACCCAAAAGAACAAGACTGCTCGTATCATGGTGAAGCCCTAAATGTTTCCACTGTCTTTTAAAGTTTATGGAGCAGTAAAAACATTAAAAAATTGAAGGTAATAGAAAAAATATAAATTTTTAAAAAAATTGAGACTTTTTGTAAAAATATCCCCCCACACATCATATAAAGTACAAAGTGATAGTTTTTGCTCCTTGTAACAAATCAATTATGGCAAATAAGCTTCTTTCAACCAATTTGGAACATATTCTAAGACGGATTAAATCTCCGCTTACGCGTTAAGAGCTCGAAATATATCGCACGTTAATTGTCCCAAAATTGGCCAAAATGGCAATCTTTAAACCCCCATAACTTTACGCAAAATGATCACAAGTGAAATATCTTTTCAAATTTGAGCTCAGAACAATA